TGTAATCTTTACACAATATTGCAGATTATTAGTAAACATTACAAGGCTTTCATATGCAAGATATCAGGTTTTTAAGTTAAATATTAAGATTTTTTTAATTAAAGATATTCTCATGAATGATTTTTTCTTTCAGAATGGTGACTATCTAACATGCAAAGTAATTTTGATTTTAAGATTAAAAATACTTTTTTGCATCAGAACATTTTGAAATTTCACATGCACAATCATTATAATCTCCAGATAATTATCAAATGCTTTTTTAGAAAACTATTTTATATGTTATTTTCAGTACCATATCTCTGTACAGGTTGGGTCGATTTGATAAAAAAAAATTAGGAAATAAATATAAATTATGCTTATTTCGTTCTATTCTTTCTTTTCATGCTAGATTCCAAGTGGTAAGATATTAGCGAGCTCAAAATTTCATTTTTTTTAGACCCAGATACAGCTTAGTTACTAAGCTCGATAAATTATAGTGAAATTCTGTGGTATTGATATAGTAATTTATATTTGGTTATTTTAAAATTATGTATAAAACCTGAAGAAGAAAAAAATTTCTTTGTTTCACATCTTCAACGTGCAAAATTTGATAAGGCTTAGCAACCTACAGCAAGCAGCAAAGGAGTACAAAGTTCGTAACAAGAAGAGATAATTTTTTCTATAATTCTTTATTTACTGTTCTATGGTTTAAGAAAAATAAATGAAATCTAAGAACTTATTTTGTAAATAGTAATAATGTACATACATATATAATGTTTTATAACTGAAATGTAACTGTTTTACAAAATACTAGTCCACTAAAACACAGCCAAGATAGGTCACTTTGTAAAGGCCTGTTTTATATTCTTGGATATGTTAACATGAGTGTACGTGCTATGCAATATTGTAACCTCTATAATGTTAGACAGGCATGGCTGTAAGGTCAACATAATAAAAATAATGAATATATAAAAATGTATAATGTCATGGTATTTAAGGTATTTAGACTAAACATTTGTGTTTGTGTTATAATTTATAGTCATACAACTGCATTTCAAAGTAATTTCTACAGTCACGCAAATCTGAAAGTATTTTTAGCCTCTGCAAAGTACTTGCATGGCAAACTAATTTAGATAATACCTGTGAAAAACTTGTGTGACCAGACTTGTGTTTGGTCTCAACGATGCACACAGGGAAAGAATTAGCTGGGGTTTCCGTGTTGAAGTTTGTTTGAATTTTGAACTTTTAACCCCGTTTCCCAGCAACAGATTAGATATAGTATTGTTTTAAAACTTACTTTATATGTATGTATATAAAGAGTGAGGATCTCGGTGGTAAATTATGTTAAAAAAAGTGTTTAGTGAATTATTTAATTTTGAAGTAGGCATTATTTTAATAGATTATGCATGATTTCTTATAAAATAAAGGAAGATAATTTATTTTTTACTTGTATAAAATAACTGTAAAACATAAACTAAATCATTGTAAAGAGTTTTGTGACTACAGCTTTTGAAGAGCTCATTAGAATTCATTGTTGGGTTTTATATGTCATTCTAATCCATTCTTCAGTTGCAATTCAGTGTTGCTTATACCGTGAAAAACTCCACGATGCTTTTCTTTTTGATGTAGATGCTTTGTGACTTATCAGAAAATGAAGATAATTATCAAAAGTGTAGAAGTAGCCTATTTTTTTTGTTGTTAAGGTTCCAGTTGCCTCTTGTTTTGTCCACTCAAAGTTCATTGAATCACATGTCCATGTTGTTTTTATGGCATGGTTCATTCTCCCTCATCACAGATGACGTAGTGATGAGAATTAGTGTAGAAACACCTTTCTGTGTTTTTTTCTTCTTCTTTGACCTGTGAATTTTCTTGTCCTATTTGTTACTTATATCTTTTGTGGTATTTACAGATGTGGGCTACAGTGATGATTATATTTGTATATATGAATAGTTTTCCCATATTGTCTACTCTGTTTTTTCAGTTCTAGAACACTGATGAACAACAGTGTTGTTGATCTTTTATTTTAATGCTGGAATAAATATAAAAATTTGTTCGGTATCTGAAATGATAATGAATATGGTTGAATGTAGTAACAAAAATCTGTGATACTAGTTATGATAATGGAACTGTATATATTTTGTCACATATTTTCCTAATATATATGTGCTTTTAATGTTTCATTTATTTACAAATTATGCATCATTCTGAAAAAAAAGATTTAAGAACCGTTTCTGACACTCAAGTTTGTGTCTGTTACTGTAGATGCTCTTTATTTTAAATGTAAGCTAAATTTTTTTTCCACGTACAATCTACAAGTAGAGCTTAATACATCAAAAAAATACTAGGTGTTTATGAAATTTGTTCTTTCTGCAGGGGGCATGCAAGCTCTTTCAATGCATCTTGGCCATCAAAGTCAGCGATTGGTTTTAAATTGCTTGTGGACCCTTAGGAACTTGTCTGATGCGGGTACTAAACAGGTAAGATAAGGTTCAGTCCACTTTTCACTCTGATTGTGTATAGTTTTGTTTTTATTATATTAATAAATCATAAAACTTTATCAATGATAAAAATATTTTGCAACTGTTAGGAAAAGCAAGGAAAGTTATATGCTTTAATAAAGTATGTTGTATTACAAAGTTAATTTTTCGATGAAGTATTTTTACTAAAGATTTGTTCATAAATTTGTGAAGTCGGTCTGGCTTGACTTTGCCTGAGTGCAAGCTAATTTCCATGTTAAGAATAAAAATACTTTTTTCCCATGTTTCAGTTTTCATATTTCATTTGCATAAACCTCAAAGGTTTGTAAGGGTTTTTTTTTTTGATGTTACTATTCTTTATTTCTCTATTTATATACCCTAACACTAACTGTAGTGAAATCATCTGTAGCAAAAGATTAAAAATGTAAAATAAAATAATAAAAGTTTGAAGGCACTAACATTGTTGTATTTAATTTTATTGTTTTATTGCCTTTTGAATTGTGTCTAACTACTAAACCAGTGGTAAAGCAATAACTCACCTAGCAAGTTCATAACTCAAGTTGCGGAAAATAAGTACCAAATTACTTAGGCACAAGAAACTTGTGACATACCTTATTGAGAATTTTTTTTCATTTATGTTGTCTTATCTAACACTCACAAGTTCAGCAATAAACGAATTGCATTGTTTCTTGTTCAACTTTGAGTCTATTAATCAGTAGACTTACCTTAATCCACAGTTTCTGCTCACTATCGGTCCTAACAAGGATTTTCAATTTTCTTCTATTTATATGTTCATTAGATTCATTCAGTGAGTGTTTCCTAATACATAAAAAAAAATATGTAGATCTTAATATAGCATGTTCTTGCTTGTGGAGTGTTAACCATATAGTGATGGAAACAGTATAACCTAAAAACATTTAGGACATTTATATTTATATATCATATTAAAAATTAAAAGTAGTTATGTTTTTTTTACCTGAAAAAATACTGTAATCTGTATGACTTTTTAAACACATTTTCCTCAACTGTTTTTGTACCTATTGTAAACTTCCTGTGAATAACTTGTGTGGCCAGACTTGTGTTTGGTCTCAATGATGCACACAGGGAAAGAAATGGCTGGGGTTTCCGTGCTGAAGTTATTTTGAATTTTGATCTTTCAGCCCCGTTCCCCAGCAATAGATTAAATCATGGACTATAGTGAAAATAACTTTGTATAAATGTTGTTGTTTTTCATACTGTAAACTTTGTCTGTATATTTTCTTCTTCACTATTAGCACATTTATGAACAAAAAGTGTTGTTGATTTTCTGTTACAGAGCTGGAGTGAATATAAGAATTCTATTAGGTATCCAAAATTATATAAATGATTGATTGACCTGTCTTTGTTATCTATTTTAGTTTGAATGGGAGAATGTGGTAACAAAGATCTGAAGTACTAGTTATTTGTTTTTTAAGAGTTATGATTATGGAATTATATATTTTCTCAGGCTTTTTTTTTTATGTTACTAATGCATATCTACTTTCAATGTCTCATTTATTTCTGGCATTAATTATGGTGTAGTTATAGTGCAGCTGGTATTTTACCAAAACTAAGGGAAACAATGAAACTGGGGCTATTTACTTTCTAACCTAAATGAACTATCCTTTTAATGTATCTAATAAAGAACAGTATGCTCTTTCTGTTGGATATGAATATTCCAGTAGCAAAGTGTAGAGAGAATTGTTGACATTTTTTGAAAGACGCAATAAGGTAGGAGGGGCATGTTATGTGGATTTGACTTTCTTGTTCACATCTCACAAAAACAGAAAGTTTTGTTTACATTAAAGCTTAGCAATGTGTATAATAAGTATGAAATTGGTGGTACACTCAGAAGATTGTCTAGGGATAGAAAGAAAATCTAAAATTGGTAATTTGGAACAAAGAAGCATCACATGATACAGAGATGTGAAGGTTGAGAATTTATTTAAATATTTTCTATTGAAATTAAATTAAAACTTGTATAATATTAAAATTTAAATAATAAACTATGGTTTGACACTGAGTTTATTGATAGTCAAGTTGTTCAATTATGAATGTAATAGTAAAAAAAAAGTTGTGACATGCACACCGACCCACAAGTTCTCGTAAGGTTAAAAGATTGTTTTATGATAACTCTGATGTATGGCATCAAAAAAAAGGTGCTGTCATGTGAAAATAAACTCAAAATATTTCCAATATAATTTCTTAATTTTTATTGTGAATAACTTCAATGGTTAATATTTTTAGAAAAATAAAAAATACTGATAAATAACTAGAATACTTATTTATCCCAACATTTCATCTTACTTAATAGGAGATATCAGTTATGTTTCAATTTAGGCTGTAACAGACGATCCTAGAAGCCGGGCATCCGATGCACTATGTCATTGCTTTTGTTTTTGTACTTTTGTGGTGATAATGTTTGTCAAAAAAGCAAACAGAAAAATAAATAATTTGTTGTATCTGTATTTTACTTGTTATTTAAAAAGGCTTGAAAACAATTGTTGATGTAGTGCAACACAAGCCAGGCTTCTAAGTCACCCATAAGTGGTTGTGTAGTCTGTCAATTCGATCAAATCTGTGTAGAGAAGATTTAAACAGTGAAATTGTTTTCTTTTCTTATAGTCATTGTATGATGCAAGTTTCTGTGAAAGTTGATTATCATAAGTTGCACAACGTGACAAAGTTTATATTTCATGTTCAACTGGGAGAGGTGCCTATAACTTTGATTTTGTGATAAGTATTTGATCTATATAAATACCAAATATAAGATTATCATTTTTTATTTTGGAGAGGACACTTGCCATTTATGTTTGCTGCTCATGCATTTAGTGCATCTTTAAGTGGAAGAATCTCTTCAGAATGGACAACTGTATTGGCTGCTGTGTCTTGGTTCATGTATTTGTTGCAGTTTTTGTTTTTATTCTTTTTTGTTCTGTTCTCTTCCCATCAATTTTCAAAACCTCTACTTTTAATTAAGTTTTCAGTCACCTTTTTAGATAATGTACTGATTACAATAGTATGTTTGGTGGCTATTAGTCAGGACCTGATTCATCATCATGGGAAATGAGTGTTATAATCTAACATGAAAAGAACATTTGTTAGGGTTGCATGTTGAAAAGAGTAAAAGTCAGACTATCAGATGTTTTGTTTATTTGTCCCAAGGGTGTATTTAATGAGGCAGCTTGATATACATTTAAATACTATGTGTCTTATGTTTGTAAGAGTTCTCATTTATGTATTTGGGCTATGAAAGATTGTTTCATTCACATTGAAAAACTTGTTTTTTTTTCAAAAAAATAAGGTTTTAATCATTAGTAAATAATTGTTCTGAATATTTTATAACTCCAGGTAGAACTGTAATTTTTACTTTATTAGGATAGTGTTGATACTCTGCTCCAAGGATTAGTACAACTTCTTGGAAGCAATGACATCAATGTAGTGACCTGTGCAGCTGGTATTTTGTCAAACCTGACTTGTAACAACATGCGCAACAAAGTGATTGTGTGTCAAGTTGGAGGTATTGAGAATTTGGTCCGCACCATAATCCAGGCAGGAGATCGAGAAGAGATCACAGAACCTGCTGTAAGTAATATTTTAGACCTTATCATAGTATTAAAATAATTGAGTAAAAGTGTGTTTTAATGTTGATGGTATTTGCTTTGAATAATTGTGTTCACAACTTACAGGATTTCATAATAATTATCTTAGAAAATGTCAATTTAAATTTTGATACATAAGTATTTTTATTAAAAACAAAATATGAAGTTCTTGTTGTTTGCTTTTGGAGTCTTGGTATTAGATTAGTTATTTTTTTTATTATTATTATTACTATTATTATAAATACAAGATAATTTGCATCAATTCTGTTAATTTCCTAGGTTTGTGCTCTGCGTCACTTGACCAGTCGTCATCCTGAAGCTGAAATGGCACAAAATGCTGTTCGCCTTCATTATGGGCTCCAAGTAATAGTTAAATTATTACACCCACCAAGTCGCTGGCCTCTTATTAAGGTTGGTAGTTGTAAAGTTAAAGTATTAGTTCCACACACATTTGTAGTTTCCACAGGAAAGCATCAATGGACTTTTACTTTTTCCTATTTAATTGATTAATTGTCTTTGTTATCAGAGTTATTTGCATATTGACTGTAATGAGCTTAGATATCAAATGTTTTATTTTTCATTTTTAACACTGAAAAAGTTCTTAGGCTGAACAAACTAATTATGTAATAAAAGATATAGCTGTGAAGTTTGTAACTGATATGTTTTTGTTTGTGTGGTTTGTATTTAATTCTTTTTTGGGCCTGTGACTTGTCACTTATTTTAAAAAAATGTTGATTTGGTGAAGAAATTACAATGAAGTAATGCATGCGAAATTGACCAAATTAAAATATAATAACTGTATCGTAAATACTTTCTACATCTTTTAATATTTTTACTGTTTAAGTACTAAAGAGAAACTTTTATACTTAATTCTGTAGTTAGAATGATGTGTACTCTCTTTTTTTTATGTTCACGAGTATAGGCTGTGATTGGTTTGATCCGTAATCTAGCTCTGTGCCCAGCTAATCATGCCCCTCTTCGTGAGCATGGTGCAATTCCTCGTCTTGTACAGCTGTTAATCAAGTCATATCAAGACACACAAAGGGTAAGCTATAGATTGTATAGTAAAATCTAAATTTTTTTTTATGATTACTGTAAATGTTTTAATGAAAAGCATGTAACTTGGACATAGGAATGTAAATATTAAGTAACTTGCTATAGTAAAGCATGCAGGTTTAATCTGATTTTGTTTTATATTCATGCAGCAAAGGTCCAGTGTAGCCTCGAGCAACAGTCAGTCTTCTTTCACAGATGGTGTGAGAATGGAAGAAATTGTTGAGGGTACTGTTGGTGCACTGCACATTCTGGCCAGAGAAGCTCATAACCGTGCTATTATCAGAGGGTTGCAGGTCATCCCTGTTTTTGTTCAGGTAGAAACCCAAGTTTTGCATTTGGTTTTAATAGTTTTAGTTCTAGTTTCTACTGTTTTAAATTCATAATAAATAGTTTTGTTTATTTCATTAGTAAAGACCTTACATTTTGACTTTAAAGTTTTTGTTTGGTGATTTATAGATTGAGAAGGTACTGCTAGGAACGTAATATGCAGTCTTACATGTGCATAAATGGTAGATTAAACATAATATTAATATACACATTGATTAAAAAATAAATGCTGAGGTTACACAATTTTTGAACAGATGAACTTATTGTATTTGTTATATTGGGTAATCTGTCCAATTCTAAATTTTGTATGGCAGCTAGATTTAATCTCTTAAAAGACAAACTGAAAGGGAAAGAAGCAAACATATTGCATATAATGATAAATAGGTAATAAATATAGCATAAAATATGTATTGGTTGTCAGTGTTATAAAATTGGTAGTGTTATGAGAATAACTTACTTAGCTTACATGCTTGTAGCTGATGTACAGTGAAATAGAAAATGTTCAGAGAGTTGGAGCGGGAGTTTTGTGTGAGTTAGCTACAGACAAGGAAGGAGCAGAGATGATAGAAGCAGAAGGAGCTACTGCCCCACTTACAGAATTACTACATTCTCGTAATGAAGGAGTTGGTATGTTGTCTTTTACACTGGGTATTGTATTCTGTATATTGTTAGTTGAAATTGTTCTGATATATCTGAGACTTTGATTTAGAAAAAATAATCTAATTCATTTCCATTTTTAAGCCAGAATTTACTGAATAATTTTTAAATGCAATGCTATAAACTTCAGGAAAGCAAATTTTTGTAAGTATGGTAAACTTTGTATTGATTGCAACATCTGTATTAGCTTGACAAAAACTTTTATTAAGTATCTCGGATTAGATGTTCATGTTTGAATAATAACTGAAGGCTGTGTTTGAAATATTTTATGGTATTTTGCAAACCGTTTTGATAATAATTCTGTCCATTGCAGCTACTTATGCTGCAGCAGTGTTATTCAGGATGTCAGAAGACAAACCACAGGATTATAAAAAGAGGCTTTCAATGGAACTGACCAATTCTATCTTCAGAGAAGAAAGTGCACCTTGGGGTGGAACAGTAAGTTGACTTTGAATCTTATTATGTCAACTTCATTGTGTAGTACAGAGAAGAATCAGGAGAGATATGCAACTTAAAACTATTGAACAAGTATTAGGTAGCTCATTTGTAATACTGTGTTTATATTTCAGTATTCTATAAAATAGAAAAACTATCATTACAACAATACAGACAATAACTGTTAAGTGTAATGCACAGAAAATAATTGCAATTATTAAAATCTGGATTGTTTTAAATACTGTCATATATTGTTAAGTTTTTATTCAATTTGAATATTTTATTATTTTCAAAGGCAGCAGATATGGATATAAACATGCTTGGTCCAGATGAAGCATATCATGATCAAATATATCAAGGTAGTCAGGGTCCACCAAGTGTCCATTCTGTTGGTGGTCGACATAATCCTTATGCTCAGCAAGGTGAGAATATTCAGTTTTTGAAAAGTATAGATTTTGTTACAAGTTTTCTTTCAGTTCTATAAAAAATGAATAAATTTTGTTATTGTTATAAGATAAAATTCAGTTAAAAAACCTCCATTTTGTAGTTAATAGTATTATGACTGGTGTGCAACTTTTAGGCTTTGAGGTTACCTCAAATTTCAAAGTTTAATTAAAAATATAATTATCTTTCAGCAGTTTTTTGACTCAGTATTTTAGAATTTATATTTTAAGAATTATACAAAATTTATCTTCTGTGTTCAATTTTTCTACTAAACAGAAAGTGTAGGTTTAAATTTGCCAAGAAAGTATCATCCTTTGAAAATACCCATTTCTTGTTTTTCAAGTCATTGTACCCCTTCTTCTTAACTTATCCATTGGAGCTCGGCCCGGCATTGCCAGGTGGATAAGGCGCTCGACTCGCAATCTGCGGGTTGCGGGTTCGAATCCCCATCCCACCAAAACATGCTTGCCCTTTCAGCCGTGGGGGCGTTATAATGTGATGGTCAATCCCACTATTTGTTGGTAAAAGAGTAGCCCAAGAGTTGGCGGTGGGTGGTGATGACTAGCTGCCTTCCCTCTAGTCTTACACTGCTAAATTAGGGACGGCTAGCGCAGATAGCCCTCGTGTAGCTTTGCGCAAAATTCCAAAACAAACAAGCCATTGCAGTTCAAATTCAGAGGTATGTGAAAATATAATTTCCGATCTGTGTTTTGTCTCCCACAAGTTGTTCTTCATTAATTAAGCTTTTGGTTCAATAACAAAAATTCATCAGTTGAGCTGGACAATGAGTGAGAAAAGATTCTAGAAAATGCTGTTATTTTATATGCTGTATAATACTCTAAAAGTTACAACTTAAATACTGTAAGCCAGCAAATAGATTTAAAACTTGTTATAAAAAGTTAACTGCAGATATTTTTATTTTCACATTCCTCTTAATTGTAACTCAGTCAGACGTGGAAAGATGTTTCAAATAAAAAAATTAAAGCCATCTGCCTTTATTTTTTTAGAAAACTTTTAGGCATTTTGATTTTCCAGTATTTCACTAGTTTTTGTGTTTAAGTCTTCATATCACCTCCTTCAGTTTTATAACAGCTCTTTGTTGTTACCCTTTTGTGATGTCACAGGATATGGATTTAAACAATTACTAATGGAGCTCCATCCTTGAAAACTGTTAGGATAAACAAGATTATGTCTACATCAGTATAGAGTAAATAAAGTGGTTGTAGCAGTAATTTGTGGTTTTGTTGACCTTAACTACCTGAGTTTCCATAAGGATACTAATGGGAAGTTTTTAACACTTAGACATAGATCTGGGATTGTCATTTCTTTTTACACTGTTTTCATTGCTAATATTTTTGTGTTAAATTACATCTGTTTAAAAGTCAGAAATTGTATGTGTAAAGATATCAAGTATGTTTAGTTAGGTTGGGAGAGAACAATAAGTGACATCAGATTATTTGAATGACGTCTTTTATTTCTGATTATAATTTTTTTAAGTTTATATAATCCAAAGAACACACACAAAATAACTTTTTTACTGAAAGCAAACTATATTTATTAGATATAAGCTGATCTCAAGTATAAATATTATTGTCAAAAATCACTGTATGGTGCTTGACAAAGGTAATTTTAATGCCAATTTGAAAGATCATTGGTAAATCTTTGTCAGTTTGTTTTTTGATTTCATGCTATAACTTTTTAAATTAGTAAGCAATTGTTAATAAAATTTGGTAATTTATCAGTAAACATTACAATGTTTTCATATGCAAAATATCTAATTTTTTTTATTAAGTCTTAAAGTTTGTAAAGCAATGTTTCTCTCATGCTTTTTTTTTCTTTTCAAATCTTGTCTATCTATCATGCAAAATAATTTTCATTTTAAGATTAAAAAATACTTTTCACATGCGAAATCTTTATAATATTCGGATAGTTATCAAACATTTCTTAAGAAAAAACTTTATATTTTATCTGTTATTTTTTAGTAATTAATCTCTGTATGGGTTTGGTAAATTTGACCAAACTTGCAATCATCACAAAAAATTAGGAAATAAACAAATTATGCCACTTTCATTCTAGAATGAACACAAATTATAACATGAAAACATAAATGTTTAGACAAAATAGCTTAAATCTTGTAACATTATACATTTATATATATTTATTATTTTTATTATATTGACCTTTCACCCATGCCTAGCTAACAGTACAGAAGTTACAACAATGCAGCTCACATGCACTCATGTTACGGTATCAAATGACATTAAAGGTGACCTTTGGTCTGTACAAAGTAACTTGTCTTGGCTGTGTTTTAGTCAACTAGTATTTTGTAAAATACAGTCACATTTCAATTATTATACATTATATATGTACATAGATTATTGCTATTTTGAAATAAGTTCTGAAAGTTATTTTTCCTAAAACATAGAACAGTAAATAAAGAAGTAAAGTAAACAATTATCTCTACTAGTTAAGACCTTTTGCGCGTGGAGGATATGAAACAAAATATTCCTTTTACGTTTTATATATACTTTTGAATAACTACAAAATAATAAATTACTACATCAATACCATAGAATTCTACTATAATTTATCAAAC